GAGAGTGGTTCATTAGGAACCGCTCTCAGAAGTTCTCATAAGAGAGCGGTTCAAGAATAACCGCTCTCAGAAGTCCTCTAAGAGAGCGGTTCCATTTAACCGCTCTTAGAATTTCAATTTATAGAGCGGTTCAGATTGAATCGCTCTCACAGTTGTGTATTAGAGAGCGGTTTCAAATGAACCGCTCTTAGAAGTGGTAATTAGAGAGCGGTTCCTCTCAGAAGTCACTGCCACTCTTTCGCCATTTTTCCTGCGAAATCGTTTTTAACGCAGATCTTTTGGCAAAACCTGGTATTATTTATTCCCACCCCTGCCCCCTCTCATCCGAGGCTCATTTTGCAATCGAAAAACAAGAAGGAAGAAGGAGGAAGGAGAAAGGTTAGTTTTATTTATTCAATTTTGGTATTATTTATATTTTTATATTATATTTAAAATTAAATATTAAATAAAGTTTATTTGTAAAATGCAGGATGAGTAGAATTGTTATTATTATATATTGGAATGGTAGAATATATGAAGGAAATGAAGGAGTGAGCTTTGATGGAAGTAAGAGAGTGATTCAGATACAGCGAGGAATAAGTTTTGAAGCCTTGAAAAGAAAAATTCATTTGAAACTTAATCTTAATAATAATCAAGTAATTTGTAGATTAATTTCTCATTTTTTGATTGATGAAAATAGTAGACAATATACAGCTTTAGATATATGTGATGATGAAGATATTGATTGCATGATAAGTGCATTTGAACAGCAATCTACTAGAAATGTTATTGAGTTATATGTAGACATTGCTGTTGGTGAAAGTTCATCAGTGCCATTGCAGATGATCAATTTAAATTTATCAATTTCACAACAAAATGATAACACTGTTGTGAGTTGTGATCGTGTCGAAGGTAAAATTATAAATTATGTAAATGTTTTTATTAATACATGTCATATTTTGTATTGAAAGTGTAAAAATTTTTCCATTAAGGAGTTAGAAATGATGTTGATGAAGATAATGAAGATTCAGATTATGAGAGTGACACTGATGGAGATGATGAAGCAGATATTTCATTAGACAGTTCTTCCTTTACTGATGCTGAAGGCGAGTTTCATTCAAACTTAAATACACAAGTAAACGAAAGTGCAAGAGGTAATGTGCAATATTGTAAAAAATTATTTGTTTTTAGTTTAATATGTAAATATTAATGGTAAATAATTTTGCAAAATATAATGCAGGAGATACTGTGATTCCTTTTTGGAATGTTACTCCACAGTATAAGTATATTAATTGGGAATATCTTGATCAAGAAATGAATGAAGAACATTGTGAAGATGTCAATTCATGGGTTGAAGGAGATTCTTTATTCGTTGGGTTGTTATTTGACAGTAAAGAAGATGTGAAAAATGCATTAAAATATTACGCAATGACGATTCATCAAAGTTATTTTGTGGCTGAGTCAAAACCAACATGTTTGTATATTAAATGCTTAAACCATACTTCTGGTTGTCCATGGAGAGTGAGAGCTTCATTGTTGAAAAATTCAAACAAGTGGAAAATAACGAGGTGGGGTGGTTCACATACATGTGTTAATGTTAGAATTTCTCAAGATCATCAAAAGTTAGATTCCAATTTAATTTCTTCATGCATTCTTGGTAAGACATATTTTATATATGTTATTTAATTTTTTTACAATTACATTGTTATTAATTAGACCAATTGATTCTTATATAGGAATGGTGAATGAAGAGCCGTCAATACATATTTCATTGATACAAGAGAGAATCTGCGCTCAGTTTGGATACAAAATTTCATATAAAAAAGCTTGGATGGCGAAGCAAAAAGCTATTGTCAAAGTATTTGGTGACTGGGATGAATCATACGCTACCTTGCCACATTGGTTAGAATACATGCAATTACATGCTCCTGGATCTGTTTATAAAGTTGAAACGAAGGAGTATGTGGCTTCTCATCAAGTGGATAACAGGTATAGAGTATTTGAACGAGTGTTCTAGTCATTTAAACAATGTCATGAAGCTTTTAAATTCTGCAAACCTTTATTGTAAGTGGATGGGACGTTCTTATATGGTAAGTATCGTCATACGTTGCTTATTGCAACAACTCAAGATGGAAACAATTGTGTCCTTCCAATATTTAAGGAGAAACCTTGTCAGCATGGGAATGATTCTTGGCATTGATTCGTTTGCATGTTACTGATAAGTCTGGAATTTGTTTGATATCAGATAGGCATCAAAGTATCAAAGGAGCTGTCTCAAATCCACACATTGGGTGGCAACCTCCAAATGCATATCATGTATACTGCATTCGTCATATTGCCAGCAACTTTAATCACCGATTTTAAAATATCGCCTTGAAGAAAGACCTCATAAAATTAGGTATGTGATTATAATTTATTTAATTTAGATATATGTTAGAGTTAATTAAATGTTTAGCCAAATTTAATCCACTGGTTTAAAAATAATGTTTTATGTGTAGGTTATAAACCATCCAAGGTAATATTTGAGCAAAAGTTAAGTAGATTTCGTAATGAATCTGAAGATATACAAAGGTGGATTGATTGCATATCAAAAGAGAAATGGGCATTATGTTATGATGACGATGGGCGACGTTATGGTCACATGACCACAAATCTTTCAAAAGCTGTGAATAAGGTGTTTAATGGTGCTAGAAATATACCCATGACTGCACTGGTTAAAGCCACATACGGACGTTTAGTTGAATATTTTGTAAAGCGTGGAGAAGAAGCCATATCTGACCTTCACAATGGAAACATGTTTTGTCGTACAGTAATGTTGCAAATACAAAAAAATCAACAAGAGGCTTCATCACACCAGGTTTGTAGGTATGATGTAAACAGGAAAACTTTTGAGGTTGAAGAAGCATTTAATCCAATCACGCAAAGAGGTGGACACAAATGGACAGTTATATTAGATAGAAGATATTGCAAATGTGGAAGATTTCAGTCCTATCGATATCCTTGTTCGCATGTCATAGCGGCCTGTATAGCTGTAAGTCTTAATTTTTGGCAATATGTTGACCCAGTTTATTCAATAGAATATGTTGTCAATGCATACTCTCCACAGTGGCACCCCCTTGGTAATGAATGCAACATCCATACAAACAGTGAATGGAAGTTGGTGCCTGACATTAAAAGAGCTAGAGCTAAGGGACGACCTAAGTCAACTCGTATTAGGAATGAAATAGACTGGGTTGAATCACAAACTAGACAAAGGTGTTCACGTTGTAACGAAGTTGGTCATAATCGACGTCATTGTCGTCAACAAAACTGAGTGTAATATGTAAAAGCAAAAATGATGTAATTGTAAAGATGAAGGATGTGATGAAATATTAATGCGAATGTTATTTACGCCACATACATTAGTTGTGAAAAGTTTTAAACATACAACAGTTTTACATCTCATGGCTGGTCTGCCATGTGTGCATGATGATCATGAACCTCTAGAGTCAAGATGCATTGCCTCTGTCTATCTCGAGTTCCTCGATGTGGATTTCGCCGAATCAGTCCAACATCGGCAACAGCCCCAAACTCAGCATTCAGATCAATCCCTAAATCCATCGGAGGCATGAAGGATGGTATAGGGTCAGCTTCCATGTATGGGGCACCTGGAGTCAAAAGAGATTGGTGATCATGAGGAGGTGTCATAAAGAAATCAGGTCATGGACTATAATCTTCTGCTCCTGTGAATGGTGATGATGGGGGCTGTGATGAATGGTGTCTTCCCTGTGATGAATGGAAATAAGTGGGGGCATTCTGCATATTGGATGTCTGGAAAGGGAACTGTGATGGTATGGGGAAAATACCATCAGGGCGTTCTGCCATGGCTTGAACGGACCACTCTGCTGCGTACACTTGTCGTCGTCGACGTCCCAAACCCTTTTCTTCTCTTCGTTGTTGTGGCTGATCTACGTGTAAGTCTGGATGTTGTGGATTGCCACTTTGCACTGGAGGATTTGAACATGAAACAGGTTCTAATATGCGATCATGCTCCTTTTTTAGTGATAGGAGAGTCTCAGACAAGTCCTTCAACTCTTCAAAGGTAAAATCATCTTGTCCATCAGTACTTAAGTAATGCAATCTCTCCATCGCATCACCCTGAAAATGAAATGAGTTTAACATATTTGTATATACAAAATTGTCTCAATAATTAAATAAAATAACAACATACCGACAGAGCTGATATGGCTGCATCCCTGGTCATCCAATGACGAGTGTGAGTAATATACCATCGCATGTATTCTAAATTAGAACTGAGTAATCCATACTGCATCTCATTAGCCATAACCCACAAGCGTCTACTCTCCCAAATATCTAAAATAGCATCGAATTTTGCTGACCAATTTTCTCCAGTCTTTCCTCTAAGGGTAAGGTCATGAAGCTAGTCAGGCTGATAAGGAGCCCTTGGTATATGCTGAACCATACCAAACTGACGCATCACTCGGTCAGGTTAATGCCACTCACAAACTTGAAAACATCTAAGTGGCACAACTGCCCTCCATAAATCCATACCGTCTCTACAGATGGGTGGAAGCATGTTGATAAGTTCCATGTTGTATGGCACCCATATAATCTACATGAAAGAATAAAAATACGATAAACACCATTAATGTTATCTAATTTTATTTACCTATTTCAGCATAAATTAGGCTATATTACCTCATCACGTCGTACACGATCAAAGAGATATCTGTAGTACTGTACATCTTTCCTTCCTTTCCTCATTCCTTGTGACAACCATCTGCAAATAATGTTTAATAAAAATATTACATGATCGATAAATAACATTATATATAATGTATGCATAGACAGACAATAACAATAACAATAAAAACTTACCTGACACCGTACGGAAGATTGAGACGTGTATAGGGGGGATTACTAGGTGCTATATCAGGAAATCTATCCCAAGCCCACATCACAACCAACGCAGCAAGTCCTCCAATAGCAACACGATCAATGTTGGTGGCCATGCATAGCTCTCAGTACAAATAACCTAGAACTGCTAAGCCCCAACTATATTGACCGGTCAACTCAAAATCTTCAAGTAAAGGTAAGTATCTAACAAATACCCTACTGCTAGAGTGATCAGCAAGAATGAACCCTCCAATGAGCCTCAATATATATGCCCTAGCAAATCGAGTAATCTGCATAGGACTGTGATTATGCATACTAATATGAGTAAAGTGGATGTCTAACCAGCTTATCTTCAAGAAACTCCCTACAAAATGCTCAGGTCCTGGTCTGATACCTAAGCTGTCTTCCACAATCTGCGCCCAATCACCTCCAGTAGGTGCTATAACTGGTCTCCCATCTATACGTAATCCTAACAGGATTGCAACATCTTGAAGAGTAATAGTACACTCTCTAGGGGGCATGTGGAAGGTATGTGTCTCAGGCCTCCACCTCTCCACTAATGCAGTAATCAACCCCACATCTAGGGGAAACTGGGATAAGTTAGCCACTCCAATAAACTCTGCTAACTACAGATGAGGAATAATTTCTTCAGGAACACCCTCAAGTCCACCAGGAATATTTTGACTTTTCCTGACCCTCAACGTCGGGTGATCATGTCCATCCCAAACATGCTCAGAAACATGAATACTCTGAAACCGAAGAAGTGATGGATCTTCTGGACCAGGATTAATAACCCGACTCTGTCCTAAAGATGATGCCATCTATACAAAAAAAACATATTAATATACGAGTGTGATTTAACTGATTTCATAATTTCTTTCTATTCTTATAAATATATAACTAATATAACATGACTAATTATATTATTCAAACATATTATATAAATTTTATTTTAAATTATGTATTAATACAAACATATTATATCATTTTTTATTTAATATTATCACTATTATGACATTATTTACCTATAATTTCGTTTTCAATTTTATTTATCATATACTATTTTTTTAAGTCTACAATAATTACATAATAACAAATTCTATATTTCTACACTACACAAATTGATAAATGAGTATCAAAATTTTACTAACCTTAATAAATATTTACCACTATTTTTTACTGTACTACACCCCCTGCATATTATAAAAAAAATTAAAAAGTCAATTTTTTCAACTTTTTACATATTTTTAAAAACATATAGAACATAAATTAATAGATAAATATAATAATAATAATAATTATTACCTCAGATAAATGCTTTAAAACTTCAGAATTTTTACTACAAATAAAGCAAAAAGAACAAACTATACGAGGGCCAGTGACGGAAAGGGAAGCAGAAAAATCAAATGTGGAAATGGAGGAGAAGGGGGAAGAAAAGAAGACGGGGCTGGGCGAAATAACTTTCGCCATAGCAGTTGCGAAATTCCCATGACCGTTCATTTTAATTGATGAATTTATTTTTACAAGTTTCGCTCTGTATTTGACGAAACAAGGTCAGCTTCGCATCGATTTTGGTGAAACTGTCCGCGAGATTAGAGAGCAGTTCAAAATAAACCGCTCTCTTATAAGCACTTCTGAAAGCGATTCTTGTGAAACCGCTCTCTTATAAGCACTTCTGAGAGCGGTTCTTGTGAAACCGCTATCTTAGTAGAACTTCTGAGAGCGGTTCATTATGAACCGCTCTCTAAGTTGACTTCCGAGAGCGGTTCTTTTGGAACCGCTCTCTTTCATGGACTTCTGAGAGCGGTTCATTAGGAACCGCTCTCTAATGCTTCTACTTCGTTCAACTTTCACCTTTCGTTTGACGAAACTTGTTTTATAATATTAAAATAATAAGTTTCGCCAGCTGTTTTGGCGATACGTGTGCGCCCCAACCCCAGACAAGGAAATTGTTTGAAAAATACACTATTTTGATAAATTGTTTTTTATTTTACAATATTTTAAAAAAAAAGCCCTTTAAACAAGAATCAGAGTCATGATAATTTACATCACAAAAGCTTTATGTTCATATTTTAATTTTTATTTTATTTTACTTTGGTTTCCCTGTCTTTATTATTGTGTGAATTTTTATCCTAGAAAGACACGTGCCATTCAAGTGTGTGTTTGTTTTTTAGAGTTTATATTTTTAAAATAATGTTAACAGTAACTCATCAGACTGGTTAAGAATATGAAGTAAATTTTTTTATTAAATAAATATATCAATGTATTTATTTTGATAAATTTAATGCACTATAACAATTTTTAATAAATTTAACATAATTTTTAATAAATTTTATTTTTATAAAATTTTAACTAAGTATCTTAAAGTTACTACTTAGTAAAAGTTTTTCTTTTACGTGAGACTACTTTATTGAATTACACTAAGAGAGCTTAACGGAGACTTGAATCAGCACTATAGCTAGTTGAAAATGGGTTTGTATATAACTCGAGTACTTGGACTTCGTAAAGGAATATGAAAATTGTTCTGAAACAGTTACGTGCTTTACTGACAAAAGGTGGGGGAAAAACTTTGATGCTTCTATATATTTTGAAGTCTGTTCTTTACATAGCCCTTTGGATGCCTCAAAGGAAAACTTCTTAATATATTGCAAAGTATACGATTTATTTATTGGTAACCTACGTTTTAATTTTTTAACCCATCTGTTTATTTGACCATATCTAATTAAGTTTCATTTTTATTTTTAAATAATCTGGCCACCTACAAGTTTAAAATGAGCGGTGATATTTTATTTTATTTTATTTTTGTTGTCCATGATCATCACCCTGCCATGGTTTTTTTTAAGGGACAAAAGAAAAAAAAATTGATGACCAAATATTTTTTATTTTTAGCTGTTGATACCAACAAAACAGATTAGATAAATTGTATAAGAGAATTTTGAGAGAATAAAAAACTTTTTACTCACATAGTGCGTGTTTGGAATTGTGTGATAGCTGCCTACATAAGTATGCTTATGCTGTATAAATTATCTCTTTCTGTGTTACATACATGTGTATTTACAACAAAAAAAAAAAAAAACATAATTTAAACATGCAAATAATGTGCCTTAGAAATCTTAATAAGTTTGATATTTATAGTTATATTTTATTCTATTTTTGTTATCCATAAATATGAAAGAAATAATAATATTTTTTGTCATTGACAAAATGAAAAAAATAATAAAAAAATTGATGGACAAGGATACGAACAAAATTTTGTTTGGAGATATCGAGAGCCTGATTGAATAATTTGTATAACAAAATTTTGAGGGAATAAAAAAAGTTTTGCTCTCACATGATGTGCTTTCAAAATTCTTCGAACTCTGATTCAATATGCATACAAACCGGCACTGAAAAGTTGAGGAAAAGGTAAATTATTCCATTTAAAAGCGTAAATACATTGTCTTGAGAATAATTTAGCAGTTTATCCGATTTAAAATTAATTAAAAATTATTATATATATATATATATATATATATATATATAATAAAAAAACGACATGTATGCTATTCAATCTCACTTTTAGAAAATGAAAATTGGCATGAGGAACTGTGATTTCTATTATTTTTTAGATATATATTTTTACAAGTTTCCCTTATCAATGTTATTTTAACTTCTCATTTATTCTTTTATAATTTTTTTAAAATTAAACTAATCCTTTATCATAAGTAAAATATTGAGCTATACAATTCAAACATGTGAATCAATTCTAAATTTAATTGATTTGACAATCATTTTAAGTTTGATTTTACAAAAGTTACATACTAACATATATATATATATATATAACTAAAGATTGAAAAGGAAAGTAAGTAACAATAAGACTACTAAATAAAATGCAGAAATGAAAATGTAGAAAATAAAAGCAGATATTTAAAACATAAGAAATTGGAACGCACGATAGAACCAGCACGAACCAGTAGAAAGAGAAAAGAATAAAGTTAAATAACGGTAGTTCGAACAAAATCAGCTGAGAGGGAAGAGAGAGAAAAGTATATAAAAGATTAAGTTTTATTGAAAACTTTAAAAGAAAAGCTTATAAAGAAGATATCTCAGCAGAACTTCCCTCTCTATAACTCTCTTGAATGGTTACATGAAAGGGTACCTCACAACATGGTCGAGGACTCCTTATATAAAAATTAAAAAGTACTATTTCTACAGTTCCTGTTATTAATAGGAACTACTAACTACAGAACAAGTCATAATTATTGGATATCCATATCGAAATAATCGTCTTCATTCTGGTAAATATCTTCAGATTCTTTTTTGGATGAAGTTTATGCCTCATCTTCTTTCTAGAGTAATCGAAGAACATCTTTTAAATTATTCTTCAAATTCTCTTTTGAATTATATCTTGTCAAAAAGGCTGCAATTTGAGATTTTTGATTAAGAAATTGAGAAGTCTCTGGGTCCAAAATTTCAAATATTGAGGATTGATTTCAAAGAAATTATTAACTCCTAAGGGTCCTACATGATCAACATTGACAAAAGAATACTTTTGTAATATAGGGAGAATCTCTTGATTATCTGGCTTGTTGTATCGATACTGCCATGAAAATACCCAAGTTAGAGCAAAACTCGAAAAATATTTAGGATCAACTCCAATTCTTGAATCATGAGGGTATCTTTCCTTGAAATTTTTATATCCTTCTTTTACTGGTAATGGAAGGATAGCTTCGATTGGTCCAAAGAAGTCACATCATTGAAGGAACCAGTTTGAAAATTTGTAATGACCATTATTTTGGGTTTTTTTGAAGTAAATTAACCACGAATGGCGGTTGAGCTTATTTTGAAACCAAAACACCCTTGTCCAAGCATCAATGTAGTCCCAGTAGTTGTAACCTACAGGGTTAAAGAGTTAAGAAAATTTTTTGCAAGAGTTTAAATTTTTTTCGAACTCTTTTAAGGTTAAAATTTTAAGAATTTGTATGGTTGAGTGGGCAATAATGGAGGGATCTTTTTTATCTCTATGATGTTTAATGGAAACAGTATCTGAATCCATTAAGATAAATTCATAAAATTGCCTAGTTCTATTTAGGGATGAGGGCCTAAAATGGAACCCAAGGGAAAAAACTTTGGATACAGCTTTATAAGGGTTCTTATCCCAAAACTTAGGCTCCATCTAGATGACTGAGAAAAAATTTTCTTTGGCCATATAATGGGTTATGTTTTGGAAAGATATTTGTTTATCTTTTGGGAGACTGATAGCTTTGCTAGTTTCTCCTATAAGGCTAATAGTTTTTTGGGATTGGTTAAAAGATTGAATTATAGTATTTAGACTTGTTAAGTCTATATCCATTTCATCTTTTGAAGCAATGTCTATCCATGATTTTTTAAGGTAAAATGCTTAGACTTCCTTGTTGGAGAGCCAAAAGGGTGCTAGCAGTTAAAGCGTAGTTAGCTTTGGTCTATTTAGGTGTTTTGGGTTGGATTGAAGAAGAATCAACCTTGTTGGATAAGTCTTTTTCAGGAATCGTGGACTGCTGAGTAGATGACTTCTTAGGCATCTTACTTATCCTATAAATATTCATAAGTAAAGTAATTAGGAAGAGAGTTTGATGTGCCTTTTTTATATATATTTTTTGAAAGTGAATTAAGTTGATAATGTTAAAAATAAAAAGCTATAGCGCTTTTGCACATATTTTTTATAGCATTTTATAACATTATACTTTCTTCTAGTGTAATAACATACAATAAAATATTGTAATACTTAAAATATATCATAACAAAGTTATTTATTTTATCACTTATTATATAAAATTGTTATATTTAACATATTATAGCATTTTCTTTTTGAAGCGCTGTAATACACTTTTTATAGTTTGTAAGTGTACTTTTTAATAATTATGACATAAGTTTTTAATACACAAATCAGTAATGATAATTTAAAATAATTTTAATCAAATTTTCATACCTAATATTTTGTACCATTAAGAGCTTTCATGTTACAAGTTAAAAAACTTTTCAACATAAAAGTGGATGTGTGTTTGGAGGGCAAGTGTACCCATCAAGAAGTAATAAAGGGTTCTTAAATTAAGTTCCTGAAATATCGTTCCACAAGGGTTGATTTCCAATTACTAAGAATTTTCTAATTCAATTGTTTAAGCTTCAAAGATATGAGATTAATTAAAAACAAGAATTTATAAAATCAATTATAAAATTACGAGCAAGGAATACAATGCACGTCTTGGTTAAACTTATCGGAGAGGAGCCTAGGACATATGAGTTTTCTCATTCAATCCTTTATATTATTCTTCTGTTTAACTCTAAATTCGATTTCCTTGTCACTACTAATCATTCATACGAATACTATTAATACTCAATGGTCATGCAATATTAATATTCTTTTATCTCAATCAACATCCCCAATGGTCATGCAAGACATTAATTTAAGAAAGCTTTAGGAGCCTACGAACTTGTTAATTTAATAACGATTAGAAGAGAAAGATTGGTTTGATCCACCTAATCCTTTGTATCGTTTTACCCTATAGATCTATTAATTAACCGAGGGTCGCCTAATGATATAATTAATTAGGATTAAGAAAGAAGCGTAATAGGATAAAATCTAATCACAAAATGGAAATCAAATTTAGATTCAAATATCAAAATTCCATAAATTCATGAACAATAGTTCTCATAACCCTAGCTATGGACTTAGTTACTCATGCTAAAGAAAAGAACTAAAACAATCATAAACAAAGACATAATCAAAAGAAACAGCAAACTAGAGTATGAGATGTATTCCCGATTTTCAAGTACGATCGCTTGAAGCTCCAAGTCTCCCCAAGCATGTGCGAAGGATCTCGTGCAAGAGAGACGAGATCATATGTATTCTAGAGCCAAAGCCAAGATGTCAAAACGGTCCCTTTACGATGCCTAAGATCTTCCCTTTTATAGGATTTGAAAACTCTAAAAACTCTTCATAATTAGGCTTCTCGCAAATGAGCACGGTCATGCAAGGCCTTAAGCACGACCGTGCATGGGCTTGAAGCACCTTGTGCTTATTGAATGGGTCTGGGGGTGCTGACTGCTGCGAAGCTCTAATCTTCCATCAATTTGGGCCCATAATGCACCAAAAAACCACTTGCGGCCTCTTTATACCAAACTACACAATTAATATATAAATTAGTGTAAAACTCAAATAAAATAAAGATCAAATATGAATATATGGGCGGTAAAAAAAGGCTTAATTACAGACTTATCAATGTGCTCAACGATAAAGTCTTAATAATGTAACTAAAATTTGAGATGTCACCATAAAAATTCATAAGAACAATATTTTTATAAGTAATGGATGAGTAAACAATGTTGCAATTGATCAAAATAATAAAAAATTAAATGTTGTAATTAGGTTAAACTAACTTAAGTTGTTTTCCTAAGGACCATTGAGTATTGATTGAATATCAAGCATTTTACATGCATTAAGTTTATAATTAAGAGGGTTTTCAATTTAATTTGATTGAACAGAATTAAAAATTGAATTGGATATAACTCAAATAAGTAATTGATCAATTTATTGATTAACAATCTAACTTAGAATTCTTCATTTGATTCAGATAATGCTTCTCAATTGTCAAAACCTAACCTCAATTAGTAATTACTACAAAAATAGCATTCTGAATTTAATGTTTAACCTAGATCAAGGCAATTCTTCATAGAAAGTTAACATTTCAAGCAAAGAATCTATGAATTCTCTCTCAATCCAATTTAAATCTTGCAAGATAAGCACCTAATAGAATTTGAATTACATGTATATCAAGAATCTTATGTGAAATTCAATTAAAGATTGAATTAAGCAATTAAACCTCTATCAATTAAAATCATGCACAGAATTGAGAGAAAAAGAGAATTACATTAAGGAATTGGGAACAATACCTCAAAATTCCTATAATTATAATGTCAATTTAGTGAATTAATATGTTTAGCCTTCCGCTGCAGTTAAATTCAGAATTACAGTGAAAAGTTAGAATGTGAATTCAAAGAAAAGTAAAAGAAGAAAGATTAAAAATTAAAAAGCCTAGAATTGAGCCTTGAAATTTACTCCCAAATCTCTCTATCTATCTAAGAGTGTAGAAAAGGAAAAAAAAAAAAGAGAAAATATCCCCTAAAATATGAGTTTAAGGCTATTATAAATTTCCCACGCTTCTGACATAATCACTTTAGGTGCTGAGAGTAGCTACGTGCAGCCTATTTTTACAACTGAAGCCTCTGGAAAACTAACTTTATGCACCAAGAGTGATTACACGTAACTCTTTTCTCACACAAAACTCTCTGTAACTTCCACTTTTTGCACCAAGAGTGATCACGCACAGGTCTTTCTAATACAAAACTATTTAGAACTTCCACTTTTTGCATTGAAAGTGACTACGCGCACCAATATTCATGTTTCTAAGTCTTTAGAAGGTTCACTCTTAATACTAAGAATAATTACGTACACTGCCTTCTACAAAACATCTATAATGCTGACTTTTGGCTCTGAAAGTAGCTACACTCATTATAAGCTTTACTCTCCAAGTCTTTGGAATATTCACTTTTTGCATCAAAAGTGACTACACTCGGTCTCAATTGACTTTTTAGCCTTTGGAATGTTCACCTTCACTATTGAAAGTGAATACGCTCAGTTAGCAATTCAGTACCAACTTTAAATACTCATAACTCTTGGTTTAAAATTCAAAATTTATATATGATGTATCAAATTAAGGTTTTGTAAAGTAGTTTTCTTTTGAAACAAGAATCTCCTAACGAATTTGACCTCAGAAAAGATATCGCAAAAGAGTGAGCAAAAGTTAAAATAATCAAAATAATGAAATTAAAAAGATTTTTCTAATAGAGTTTAATTAATGAAGTTTTGATTAAAACAACCAAAATTAATTAATTACACATATTTAAAAAGCTATGATTCAAAGAAAAACTTAAAGTATAGGATAAAAATATTACTCATCAATGAGACCTTATAAACTATCATTGCCTGAAAAATATTAACTTAATATTAAAAATTAAGGCATATACAGGATGTTATCTAAAGTTATAAACATAAAAAAAATAAAAATTAATCATAACCTAAAGTCAAACACAACAAGAGCAGTATAATAAATGGAAATGAGAGAGAAAGAGAAACAAATTAACAAATTGTAGTTCATATCAATATCTTCTTTTCATCCTATCCCACATGTAATTGTAAATAAAAAGAATAAGACTGTGTGAAAAAGTTGAGGTTTAAATGTGATAAGAATTTGCTGAAGAGTGAGCTATGAGGTTAGTATCCTACCCATAAAAATTCAAAACTTTATTAAAACGTTTGAACACAGAAGTATTATAACAGATTAAATTTATTGTACCGTTTGAATATGGAAGCACTATAGTAAATAAATTTATATAATATTTACTTAGTTAGAGTACTATAATAAACTTAAAATCATTTTAAAACGTTTAAAATTATCAAAATTTTATAAATATTATTATTTACTACAACATTTTATCTCAAAAGCACCTTAATATGATGTATTACAATGTCTTATAGCATTTTTTTGTATAAATGCTTTAATATCACTGATATTAAATATCTAATATTTATAGCATTTATCTTGTGATTTATTTTGATTTAATTTAAAAAATGAGATATATAATTTAATTTTAATTTTATAAAATTTTTTGATTCATTTTATCTTCTCATTTATTTTTATAATATTTTTTTAAAATCATCTAAATTAGTCCTTAATTTTAAGTAAGGTATTAGATTATGCAATTGATCCATGTGAATCAATTCTAAATTTAATTGATTTGATAACGACTCAAAGTTTGTTTCTATAAAAATTATATATTCTAAGAAGTATATATTATTTGTGTAATTAATATAAATTATTATTACATTTTTTAGAATCTAAAAATACACAAAATAATTTTTATTAAAAATATAATATTTATTATTATCAATATAATAATTTTTTTATATTTAATAATTATATTATATATTTATTATATGTTTTGAATATACATTAAAAAAATAAAAAAGAAATGATGTTAAGGCGAATCAGATTCTTGAAGGAAGAATATGTCACGAGTGGAGACGATAAATTGAGATATGATGTAAGATATTATGCACTGCAGACATTGATATGCGATATTATCGTGCGTGGAAGGGGGAGCAAAGAAGATGGATCTGATTCGCATGTTATTTAAGAGAACAAGTGACTCCAATTCTCACACACTTTTGGGCATTTGTTTTCAAAAATATTGCTCACACCTGCATCTTCTGCTTTCCTTATTCTATTCTATTCAATATTCTCTCTGTCCCTCTCCAACCCTTCATTATAGTTAACCAATTCAAGCCAAAACCATTTTCACCTTTCCTATTATGGAAATTCAACATCAACCCATCAAGTCTAGGTTCAGGCGTATCTGTGTGTTCTGTGGCACCAGCCCTGGTAAGAACCCCAGCTACCAACTAGCTGCTATTCAACTCGGCAAACAACTAGTAAGTAATGTCAACCCTTCTCATTCTCAATTATTGTTCGGATAAAACAAGGTTTTTCTGTCTCCAATCTTTTTTTTTATTAATTATATTTTCATATTATTAATAGAATAAACTAAAACTTAATTTTGTCACTCAATCTAGCTAGTGCTTCTCATTCTATTGTTTTATTTAAAATCTTTTAGTCTCATCGTACAACCAGCCCTATTGCTTCAAATTATCTACCGATTAAGTTGGCTAACTTTTAGATTTGTATTAATTCAAGCAAATATGAATAGCTAATTGAGGGTTTAACAATTTAGATGAAAATTGAATGCAGGTGGAGAGGAACATCGACTTGGTTTATGGAGGAGGAAGCATTGGGTTGATGGGTCTAATCTCACAAGTTGTTTTCGATGGGGGACGCCACGTGTTAGGGTAATAACACTTCCCTCTGTCCCACCCTTACCTATCTTTCTGTTTCTTTCGGTACTTGTGATTTTGAAGTTTAGAACCTTGTTCTGGTTGCAGGGTCATTCCCAAGACTCTTATGCCAAGAGAGGTAGGGTAGTAGAATTTAGTTTTATTTTATCAATGTTTTAACGTATGCTTGTAATTTTTTATTAATATTATATTGTTTCAATTGTGTAATTTTTTATGTGCATTAAAAGATGTTATTGTATTTAAAAATATAAATTATGATGTGGCGATCATAATTAATTATATGTGGAGAAGGAGTAAGGCGATAAATGATGAGTATTTGGGTTCAGATCACGGGAGAGACTGTGGGGGAAGTGAGAGCAGTATCGGGCATGCACCAACGCAAGGCTGAAATGGCACGACAAGCCGATGCATTTATTGCTTTGCCAGGTTTTTGTTTATTTTTCTATATTTCTCCCACTTGTTTTCTCAATTGTGGATACACGTATGTACCATGTGATCGTGATGGCAGAGATTTTGACCTTTTCTACAATAAGAATTTTAATTTTTTATTTAAATAAAAATAACCATCCTTATTTTTTATACTTAAAGTTTTATATATTTTATCATCACATATTTTATTATATTTATGTTTTTCCCCTTTGTCATCTTCTCTTATAGTATATATATATATATATATGCCTCTCAAGGGTTTCAAAGTATTTTTATCCTTTCGCCGATATAAAAAATTTCCTGTATTTGCATATTTCGTGAATGGCCACGCTTCTAAATATATTACATAGGAACCTGGCTTTCCCGTAAGTTATATATGTGCATATATACGAGAATGTCTCATATTCATTAAGTGAAAGGTTAAAAGCAATTGAATGATTAATAATAACAAATGGAGACATTCAACGTAACCTGAAAGAGTTGAACGCAGGAAACAAATGCTGACTTTGAGAACTGAAATATAAAACTAATATATAAATTAGTTTTGCCTTTGTCTTTCTGAAAGCCGTTCATTTTTTAGCACTTATGTATCAATAAATTATTTTTGTAGTCCCTTTTTACATTACACTGATGAAAACTTCAAGATAAATTTAATATTATATTATTTTCTTGATAAAATATGATTTAATTAAATTTTAACAATTTATTACTCTTTAAAACATGTACAATATATATGTTAAAAATTATATATATTAAAAATATAATTTAGCTCCCCAAAAATTTTGCTGAACCTTCACCTCCACTGACTGTAAATCTAAGAAATAAATTAAAATAACTGTCGATTTATCAGCGTATACATCCACCTTAACCTTTCATTCTTGATTGTGTCTTGCCTTTGCCTGGGAAAGAGAAAATAGGTTCTCAAGATAACTTTATCAATAACGGATCATAACTGTCAACTGTATGTTGCAATTAATAAGATTCCTATACGTACCGGTTTCATTATTGCATGGTCATAGCAGGAGAAAGAGTACACCAATTTAATGCATACAAAAAAGTAAATAATAAAAGAATACACTAAATTATTGAAAAATTATATTGCTGTAGGTGGATATGGCACCCTGGAAGAACTCCTCGAAGTGATCACCTGGGCTCAATTAGGAATCCATGATAAACCCGTAAGATATCAAAATCACAACCCTTTTGCAATTTTTTCAAACATATTATCTTCCACTCTTTTTTTATTTGACGTTAAATATTCTGCATAAAAATTTTAAAAAGAAAAATGTTATTTAATTTTTACTATGTTCTGTAGTTATTATATTAATTGTTTTACTTATTTATTGTTTTTATAAAAAAATTAATTGTAAAATAATTAGTATTTATTAATGTTCAAAATAGTAATATAAAAATAAAAAAAATAAAATCATTATTGTCTGAAAAGGAAAAAAAAAGAAGTAGTATTACACATTAGTTTTTAAGTAAGTGTTTGGAAGTTCATTGGAAGTGTACCTAAAGTGAATACTTACATTATTGTTAGTCGGTATCAAAGAAACATTACTGTTCGGAACTTATCTTAAACCTACTAATAATGTACACACTGACACGTACACAGGTACACTAGTGTCACCCTAATTTTAATATAGTTATATGAAAAAATAAATAAACTCCTTTTCTTTCTTGTGATGGAATATTCTGAGTTATATCGCTCACATGATCACATCACATGTAAAATGCAATCAATTAGTTTGTTGAAAAAATGTATTTCGAATTAAGTATTAATAATAGGGCATATTATAATCCGTTGATGATGATAAAGAAAAGACACAATGAGGGTCTTAATCATTGGAAAGAGATAACTGTATAAATGAGTGATTAACGGAAAAAATGGGAAATTGAGAAGATGTATTGGTAGCAGGTGGGGTTGTTGAACGTGGATGGGTACTACAACTCGTTGCTGTCATTCATGGACAATGCTGTAGACGAAGGTTTCATAACACCAGCTGCCCGTCACATTATTGTGTCTGCCCACGCTGCCCAAGACCTCATGTGCAAGCTTGAGGTATATAATACAATTTATGCAATTCCCCATTTTTCATTTTCCATCCCGTAGGGAGCAATACGATGAGAGATATTGATTTGTTATCTCCTTATTAATTTTACCAGGAGTACGTCCCCAAGCACTGTGGCGTGGCACCAAAGCAAAGTTGGGAGATGGACCAACAGTTAGTAAACAGTTAACACTGCAAATTAAAATCAGACATATTTTGTGTTCCCCAGCAAAAAAATAGCTTTCTCAATACAAATCAGGCCTTTTGGCTGTCATTGTGTATTTTCTCAATTACCAACTAATTGTGTGTGTCAGAATCTGACCTGTATGATCAAAGACATGAGATTACACTAGAAAATTTCCATCATTGTCGATGTTTAAAGTGCATGTCTATGCTATATTTTAAAAGTTTGCTTCCTTGCAGTGATGGGTACTTTCTAAATATCATTTAAACAATTATTCAGTTTATCGATTAACTTTGTAAATTTTTCAAATTATTATAGATAGATAGATAGATAGATATGCGCGCGTCCAAAATTATGTGCCCTAACATATTTTCGTACTACATTAAAATTATAAATTAGCTAACAGCATTTATAGAGAAAGAGATTGATTTGGAACATTGCGAATGCTAAACCATTAATTATGAAGATCAATAATTGCTCTAGATCCAAGATAAGGTGTAAGTTCGAACACCACGCAATGCAGTTGGATCCAAAGCTATGTTCGAACTTCGACAAGTTACTTGGATTTAACACCCAACTCATAACAGGACTACTTTTTAGATTCATCATAAATGATTGTGAAATTTCTCGACTATTTGGCAAATGATGATTAGATGGTTTATCTTGGTTTACTTGATTATATAACTCACCACCATCCTAACACTTTTTTGCTATCTTACTTATTTCCTTGATTAGCACAGACTTCTTGATAATCCGAGTCACAGAAATCATCAAGTTTACAGAAGAATTAGCTTATCATATTTGCCACTACCATCATCCTTCTTTTTTATTTTTATCTTTTTTTAAATATTATTATGTTGAAATTTTTTAACTCCCTTCTTATGTGAAAAAAAAAAACTCTTGATTCATTGTGTCGCAATAAAATTAATGGAGAAGATAGGATAAGAGAAAAAAGAGTTTTGTTGCAACAAAAACTAGTAAAGAATAAGAGAACTCATTATTATTTTCGCATATTACTAGACCATTATTTTTTATATTGCAATTGCGGATTTGTTCACCATTGGATCAGGCTTAATTTTTAACAGTAGGTTTGTCACACATGAATCTTCATTTTGTTTTGTTAGATCTTCAAGAAAAAGTTTGGAAAGAGAGAAAGAAATATAACAATTTTGCGCTCTACAATTGAAAATTTTTTCATCTTCTTGTTTTTTATTTATAAACATTAGTGCTTTGTTTGTTTTGACTATTTGTAAAAACGATTTGTGCACTTATCTGAGACACTTTTGTACATTTTGTTGATCATAGTAGATTATTTCTTTGGCCTAGACAATCTATGGTTTTTTACTCTTACTTTGAGGAAATTTTCATGTTAACAATTGTTTATCTCCTGTGCTATTTTGTGGTTATTTTTTGTTCTATTTTTGTTGGTGCTTCTAACTGATTCTTGCATGTTTAAGGGGATAATTTTTTGTTGCTTATTGTTTTCCTATTATGTTTGTGTTACTGTGTTGACATTCCTCCATCAAAGTGGTATCCAAAGCTCTTTGGTTAAGTGGTTGAGACTTCTTGTCTTACTTGAATGATAAAGACACAAACAAAGATGATTTCTTTGAATGGAGCAAACTATCAGTTTTGGAAGGACATAATGAAAGACTTGTTATTTATGAAGAATATGCATCTAGTCTTTGGTACAAGGAAGTCAGATTCTATGTTTGATGAGGAGTGAGGTGATGATTCATATTTTGTACTCACATTTATAGCCTTATTGCATTTTTTAAAATATTTTCCTTATTTATTTATTTCATTTAACATGTTTTTGCATTTCTTGCATTAAATTAGAGTTTTCATGAATATTTGTTATCCTTTACTTGATATTTCATACTTTTGCTATTCTGACATTTGTCCACTATTTCGGATATAATATTTTTTGTAAATCTCCTTTTTGGCTGATTTTTTTTTTTTTTGCAATGGATTCCTGACTTCCTAAGCTTTAATTTGGATATATGGATCGTGCTGTTTGGAGTTCAGAGCTATTTTTTATTAATTTTTAAAGTTTAGACTTAAAACATATCTTTTATATTTAGGGCTTTTATTTTAATTACTTGCGACAACCTTGGCCCATTTATTTCCATTTTCATTTAAGACCAGGATATATGGGGTCAAAAGGTTAATTTTGAACCTCTTCCTTCTTATATTTTATTTTTTTGTAAAGACTTTTTCCCGTTTTTTAGAGGAAACCTTTTTCGTTACCATTATTGCCTCCTTTTCAGATTCTACAACAAAATTTAATTTGTGATTCTTTTCTCGCAAATCATCTCGTCTCAAGTGTGGATTGCAAGATCGATTGATCGCTTTGAGTTTGTCTTTTTACCTTCTCGCAATTCTTGATTAAGATTTGTGCATGTATAATTTGATTGAATTTGATTTTATTCTTGAGTGTAATAGTGATCGATTGATTTCTTTTGCATTTGAGATTTAGATAAACTCGGTATAGTAATCCTAGTTCGTACCTATGATTTGTAATTTTAATTTGTGTTTGTTAATTGCTTTCGTTTTGCCTTCCGTGTTGCTTTCAATTCATTTTTTTTATTCTCTGGTTTTAATTCGCTTTCTGATTTTAATTTGTGTTCGTTTACATTATTGCATTCGTATTAATTAATTTACGTTGGTTTTAATCTGCATCGTTTTCATTTTCAATTTGTTTTCGGGTTCCCACTTATTGATTTAATTCATTTTTCTGGGATTCATTTTCCAATTCATTTTATTTTCAATTTGTTTTTGTTTTTCTGGGTTAAATTAAATTCATTTTCATTCTTAAATTCATTTCATTTTTAGATCCGATTTTAATTATGTTTTTAGATCTCTTTTTAGATTTGTTTTTAATTCTGTTTTTGGATCCCTTTTTAGATTTGATTTTAATTCAATTTGATGTTGCCAATTTTATGTTTCTATTTAAATTCTTAAAAACTACAAAACCCCCCAATCTAACCACTTTTGCATGCTTAAAACTGGGAACAGAATAAATTTGTGTCATTGCGAGATGACCTAGGTTTGCTCCCTTTATTGCAAAATTATTTGAGAAATCTAGTTTTGTTTGAAACTATTACGATGTGGTTGTCAAAATGGCGCCATTGCCAGAGATAAAAGTCATTTTGTTTTAATTTTATTGTGTGCATTAACTACTTTGTTTATTTTTCTGCGTTGTTCGTTTGTGTTGCTTTTGGTGTGATTTGTTTGTGCGTGTGGTATCCTGCATTGTTGATCAAATTAGAGAACAATTGTATGCCCAAAATAGAGGAGTAGTAGGCGTGAAAACCAGAGCATTTGGTCTCAAAAGTGGTCGTCATTATAGGTTACTATTCACTTACTATTCATCTGATTTTAGAAAAGTCAAATAAAATAGTTAGAAATTGAATTTTAAGTTGAATTTTGTGTCCACATTTCTTTTAGTGTCTTTTAGATAGTAGAGTTGGCAGATTTGAAAAAATAGTCGTAGAAAAAAATATACAAGTGAGTAGTAAAGAAAAAATTGTGGAAACTTAAAATAGGCATAACTTTGGCTAGGAAACTCAGAATTGACATTATTGCATATGCATTTGGGGTAAAAAAAAAATTTCCTATCCATTGTAACCCGCTTTTCTAGTTAAGGTTACTCAGATTTTCAAAAATTTCCTATTTTCTAAAAGTTCTTTATTTTTTGCCATTTATTTACCTATTTTTCTAGATTTTAGGCATTTAGTTTACATAGTTGTGCATTTCAAAAAAAATTGAAAATTTTTATGGTGTTTTTTTATACCAAAAATAAATTTATCAAGGCTTCGCTTCATTCATATCTCACATTTTCATGGTACTTGCTTTGTCAACTAACATTATTCACTCAATAAGTGCTTATTAAATGCAGGATGTTCTTGGTGATTCTAACCATGCATGACCAGGTCTAGAGCAGGTACACTATACCCATCAGAGATTACAAAGAAAGTGCAGTACAATACAGATAGCTACAAACAACTAAGAGAAGACTTTGAAGGAGCTGGCTGCCCCTGATGTTGGCCACCAGCCACTTTGCATCCAAGTGCCTCAGTTATAATAAGGTGTAGCCACCTATGAATTGAAGTCTAGTTTGATACATTTGCTGCCCAAATTTCATGGACTAGCAGGAGAAGATTTGCATAAACACTTGATTGAGTTCCATGTAGTCTGCTCTACCATGCGGCCAATAGATGTGCCAGAAGACTTTGTGAAGATAAAAACATTTCCATTCTTACTCTGTGACATGGCCAAAGATTGGCTTTACTTGCATCCAACACCAATTACTACCTAGAATGACATTAAGAGGAGATTCTTAGGAAAGTTATTTCCTGCCTCTAGAACTGCAGTAATCAAAAAAGAAATAAGTGGGATCAGGCAACTATAAGGAGAGACTTTGTATAAGTATTGGGAGAGGTTCAACAAACTTTGTGCAACCTGTCCAAATCACAAAATTAATGAGCAGCTGCTAATCCAGTATTTTTATGAAGGTCTACTTCTTATTAAGAGGATCATGATTGATACAGCTAGTGGAGGAGCTTTGATGGACAAGACCCCTGTAGCTACAAGGTATTTGATTTCCAATATAACAGAGAACTCCCAGCAGTTCAGTTCTAGGAGTGTGACCAAATCTATACATGAAACAGTAACTAGTAATGTGGCTGCAGTTGATAATCAGAGGCTAGAAAATAAGCTTACGGAGTTAACTTCATTGGTGAGACAACTAGCAATGGGACAGGCAGCGCCACAAACATATGGTATATATGCTCAGATGATCATTACATGGATGCTTGTCCTCAACTGCAAGAGACATCCAATGCATCTTCTCATGTGGTGGCAGATATACATCCTCCATACTAGCAGCACCACTAGTAGCAATATAATCCATTTTCACCTACATATAACTCAAGGTGGAGGAATCATCCTATTCTGTGATATGGTCCAGGCCCAACACAACATTAGTAGAGATATAATTACCAGCAACCACAGCCTGTGCAGCATCTTGCCCACTACCAGCCAGCAT